CCTTCATAGTGTAGACCAGTCGATTTTCCATGGCGTTATTCAAATTTATATACTTTCAAACTGTAGCTGTTTCTCAACTCAAAGGGGTAAACATAATCCGCTTGAGTTAAAGAGCGTCTTTATTTGTGTGTTTCTAAGCACATAGTGAACAAAAATTAAGAAACCTTTAAAACTTTTATTTCCGCCTGCAAATTATACTTTGTTTTTCTCAGTTTACTAATCTTCTGTTTTTCTAAAAAACATATCTTGAGAAAAACAATCAATATATAATGATAACAGTGTTGATAAGATATGAACTAATGCAAACTATGGCAACCACATTATTCCAGCTATTTCATTTTTGGCTTTTTGCAATGGTATCGTTCGTTAATCAAACCTTTTACGGACATCTTTTGCGCTTCATCTTTTTATCAAGTTTTGTTGAAAACAATAACTTTATCTGATCTCTTGAACTGCTCTTGAAACAAATCCTAACGTTATGCAGAGTAACTGATAGTTTTATCAACGATAACGAAGTATCATAATAATGAAAATGTGTTAATTTTTTTTAGGAAAAATAAAGTCTGATATTTCTTATGATTATTAGTTCAATTACCTGGTAGTTTACCAAACTATTTTACTGATCATTAGATCCTCTTTTTTTTCAATCTACTGTTGATGATCATTATAACGCTTTAAATTTCGTTAATTTTATTTTCAGATTTATTGCTGTATTCGATTTAAACAATTGTAAAATATTATTCATTATCAGGTGAATTCAACCAGGTGAAAACACTAATTTATGGCGAATGAAAACAGACCAAAAATAAGTACCGGTTTTTTACAGCCAGCAAAGGTTGACTACAAATCTCTTGACGAAAAGTTAGCTTTACAATTTCAAGCTTAGAAACTGAGTACTGTAAAAAAAAGTCTACCAGATTTTCAGTTAGTTTATACTTGAGTTTTAACGAAGAAAATTACAGTAACTGAGCATAAAAAGAGTACTTTATTACCATCTAAATTCCATTCAACGTTTGCTGGTTATTTAATCAATAAGAGCATGTTCAGCACATTTGGTGATCCTTATCCAATAGCGTTCATTGAACAGCTTGAAAGCGTAGATGACAGACTGAGACGAAACAGTGCTGTCAATGATGACAACGACTCGGACAACTCGGATGATCAGATGTTTACACTTAGATTCTTTCGCACCAATTCTGAAAACATACCAAGGTCGTAGCATTAAAATAAACAATTTTTTGATTAACTGGACACTCGAACTTGTTTGATACTTAGTTGCTTTTCTTCGTTTCAGTCTTTATCTGATTTTTATTTTACCTTACCTTATTTATTTGCAAAAGTACCTCGCAAAATTGACAGAAAACGAACTTTAGTAGGTTCGATTGGTTAGACATTATTCCCGTATTCTGCATTTTGGTGGTTACTTTTGAAGCTGTATTTGCTTTTCTTTCAAAGAGCACTTCTTGCGTTATGGACGTTCTTCGATGGTTGTCGGATTTCTGTGGTCACTATAAGTTAGTTGATCGAAACAGTCGAGTTCAAGAACGTTTAGGTAATAACTTCACTTAATTATTTCTGTAATTTAGGCTCTGCTGCTTCGACTACTTATGATATGACATAGTTTACGCAAAATTTATCGTATGACCAATTAACAAGTTGAATTTTCATTCTGCCTCAAACTGAGGCTGCACTACAGTTTCTATTTTAAATGTCAAAATGTCTATGTAAATATACTTCATTTCATTCATGATTCACAATATTTAAGTTCTTATTTAGGGCTTTTGTTCAACTTAAGATAAAAAACAAACAAAAAAAAAACATTTAGTGAAATTTCGTTTTTTAATATCTATTTGAACAACTTGACTTTTTATAGAATGCTTAATCTTGATGATATTGGTTGGACTTATCCTAACAGACGCAGTTTCTTTTATTTTGCTAACAAACAAGAATTATAAGCGAATTCCTGACATAGACGTTACTTGGATGCTTATTGCCGCTGGATTGTCCTTTTCTGCTAACATAGCATTGATATTTCAACAATTTCAAAGAAGTATTGTATACAAAATTTTATTTTTATTTTTTGATCGCTTTTGCGAAACTTTAGCAGTTTTCCGGACAGACAGCATGATTAAGAAGGTACACAAAAGTATAAGTTCTTTTTTAGCATTGAAATCAAGAAAATTTCTGGGAACTGCAGACTTTATATGCCTTCGATTTGAGCAGTTTCTGCATATGTTTGGCAATCATGGCATCGCAGCTGTTGTACTCACTGTAACAGCTTTAATAAATATTCAGGTAATTAGTTTTTGACGACAGCACTTTTACACTGTAATCTCGGAATGTTTCTTCAACATAACTCACTTTTTACGCACTAGACTCTTTATTTCACTTCATTCACACTTGCAGTCCCAGAGAATCCTATTTGCTAATTAAAAAACATAAAGAAACTGCTCTTTTTTCCTTCAGTTTAGCTGTTTTAAACAATAACTCCGACAGTTGACAAAAGGTAGAGAAAAAATCTCAGGAGAATAAACCAAGTGAGACTACATATTTTTGTAAGTTTTTACCGCTGCAAATCTGCTTAGTCTTTTTACTAGCATGTAATGAAAAAAAAAAAAGAACTTTTTAAAGGTAGTTGATGTTATAAAGAGCAGCTAAACTTTTTGGTATACCTAATGATTACTTTATACAACCGCTTCTTTTCTAAGCAAAATATCAACCTGTCAGCTGTTAATACTGCTATTACACCACTAATAGACGAAGCTATTAGGGCAACTGCATTAAAAATAATTTAGTACCAATGTATTAACTCTACTATGTACAGTGAAATTATAAGTGGATATGTTTTTGTTGATCTGTAAGTCTCCTAGGAAGTGGAGCAAAAACATTAAGTAGGAAACAAAATTTTTTGTTACGAATCTCTTTGCTGTTCAAAATATGATACTTGTGAACGAGCAAAACTGGCTATTTTTTCAAAGATTATTGGCATTTCACATTTTAGATGGCTGTTGTTTACAGACTTATATATTACTTTAAATATTACTATATTTTTTATAGCAAAAGTCGCGAGCTATAGACATGGTTGCAGCATATATCATTGCTGTTCTTCTCATCTGTAACACTTTTGCTGCCTTTAAAAAGGGTTATTCACGGTTTCGGCGAATTAGAAGTAACCGTTATCAATACGATGAACTCTGATATGTCCATACATGCGAAAACAATTCCTCGAATACTATCAGGTGGTTTCAAATGCTTTCTTTTTTACTCTTCTCTTTTTTCTTTCGACTGTTCATCGTAACACTGTGTGGACGGCACAACAACTCCTAGTAAATGATTATTTCAGGATTGCTGAGAATATAAGCGATGTTAAGGGTCTCTAAAGTAATCTTGAAATTTTAAAAAATTTGAGTTCTGCATACCATTTGCTGGTGAATACAGCAGGTAAAATATTTTGCGTTGCAATATTACTGCGAGTTTTGTAGGAACATTTTTGATGTTAATCGTTTTATAGAATAACCTTTCTACCGTATTTAATTTTTTACCGTACTTTTTCTGTAAATACTGATCAATGACAGAAACACAAAATTTGTAGAACCATAGCATTTTTCTTTTTGTTTCTTTATTCTACTTTCCTTTGTAAGCATTGGTTGTCTCAGCGAGGTAAACGTGTATCAGTTGTTAAAGCGCAATATTGTCATGCATTTTTTTTTACCGTACTTCTTCTGTAACTGTTGTTCGCCCTTAGCGGTCGCTATAATTGTACAGTAGTCTTGTATTATCTTTTCATCGTACTTCCGTGAGTGGTAAATACCTGTGTTGTAATTTGTCACTAATTACTGTTGATGATAAAAGTGTACAAGTAGATTGTTTCTGCTGGAATAATAATGTTGTTCATTGTGAAAAACTAGAAATTTTTGGAAGTTTTTGTCAACAAGTTTGTTACTGACTGAGTATCAAACAGTTATGAAACTTCAGTGTACAGTTGAACACAAAGAATTCAGCTGCTAAAATAATAACCTTTTTTTTTTTTTTTTATCAGATACTAAAGTGTAGTTTGGCTTTTAGATGTTGCTTGGCTAAAATTAGTTGATTGACAGTTTTAAATAATTAATGAGGCACAGCAAAAAATACAGAATTCTTTCTTGTCGTTGTCATTTTTGCTATTCCTGAGAATTAACTGGTTATTTGCTCTTTAATTATAGCAGAAGGCATAATCTTGTGTCTTCTGTCAGCAAAGTTTTGACTACACAAATTCTTATAAGAAATTAATTTTTTTTTTATTCGAATCAGTTTTACAAAATTATTTCTGAAAACTTATCTTGGGTAACATTTTTACAGTACAATTATGGTTGCTTTTTAAAACAGTTCTGAGCGACCTCCGCAACAGCATTCGTAAGGCAGAATTATTTGACATCAGCTAACAGATCGATTTTGTTGCTATTCGTAATGAAGCAGTTTCTATCAGACTCTTGATAAATTTGTCATTATTTTGTTTTTAGCTTTGTTAATCACCAGTCATGAAAAGCTAAGAAAAAAAAAAAAAAAA